TCAAACAACCCGGCCCTAAATACAACAAGCTAAAGTTGACCTTGCTTGAGCCCGCGATCCAATCGAAAAACAACATTTGGTCAGCACTCAACTTCAAGGACTGTAAACATGAGTCCACAATATGGTCACGTGATAGTGGTCATCGGATACCTTGTTTTGACAGGTGTCATGACTGCATTACTTGGTTGACCTTATTAGCTGGAGAATGGCCGCCATGTTGCGTAACGTCTTCGTCATTTTCCTCGTCGTGGGGCGTACGCGCCCGCAATCCATGCCGCTGGCCCTGTTGACCATGAAAACAGAGTTGTGTGGTTTTCTATTTCTATGCATGCAAGTGGGTCTGTTCTATGGTTGCTTGGCGGCCCTTCGGGCCCCCGGAGCTCCGCTATTAGTAAATGTTCCTTATTTAACGGTAAAAAGAGCATTGAGGGCGGTAAAGGGGGATGGAGGAGTGGGGTCAAGATCACGTTTCATGGAAAATAAATTGGTCCTTTCACAATTCACGGGAAATAAAATCGGCATTTCACGTTTAACGAAAAAAAAGGCATTTTTTGACACAAACTTACGTAACTTATGACATTTGAAAAGTTACGCCTATAGCATAGTCTTGTTAGATGTCTTTATCATTGATCCGCTTCTTGTTCTTGTCCTGTCACGGTCACACAATATTGTTAATTATTGTCGAAAATAATAGAAGACACCACCAGAATCACGCTTTCACGGAGAATTATTTTGAAAAATCACGGTTCACGGCTTCTCAGTGAAATCAACATTCACGAGAAAAGAAAAAACAAGCCATTTCACATTTCACGGGAAAAAATTAGGCCATTGACGAATCACTAAAACACCCTTTACTACCCTCAGCATTATGGCACCCAGTGATCCGTAAATTGAAACATGAAAAGAGTAAAACAACAAGAGCACTTTGCAAATATGTGGCACCTGATTCAAACTAGATGACCTTTATTTAATGCAACAGTAATTTTTCCAAGTACATTACATTTACAGAATTGAACACGGCTTGAACTTGACGTTTTCGAAAATAAAACTTGTGAAACTCATATTATTCCTTGCCTCTCTCTAGCCTCAGTCTTGTTGTCACTATGGTACTCTTTTATCCTCCATGACATCAAAAACCGTAGCTATTTCTTTCGGCAATAAGATTTTTTCTAAAATTGTTGGCCTTCATAATCGTATAGCTGAGCACCGTGACGGCGTCCAAAACATTCGCGTTTTTCAACTGCCATGCCGGATTAAATTGGACATAAACTGTTTCATCGATGGCGCTTTGTTCACATTGCTGAGACATGATCGTGTCTTTACCACTGCTGTCGAACTGCTAGAGCACTTACGATATCAAAAACGGAGAGAAATGCGAAGGCCAAAATGTTGCTTATATGTCTTTAATATGCTGCCATTGTCAATTGGTCATGCTTCTAGCTTTAGCATCTCTGATTTCAAAAAGGGAGTTAGGGATTATATAATTTCAAGAAATGTTTAATTCAATTAAGCTGTTTTAGAACTTTTTTCCTCTTTTTCTTCTTTTATCAGGTGGTCTGCCTAGTATTGGGGCTTTGTTTCTTTCGCTTACGATGCTTATGGCCATTTTATTCTTTTATTGCTTGCATTTTCCATATTATCTTCGCCATTAAATTGTAATAAATTAAATTCCTTCGCAGCATCCCAGAAGGGAGGAAATACAGTGAAATCTGTATTAAGCAGACCCCGTATTAGGCAGACACCCCCCCCCCCNATTGTCTTTAGCTATATCTTTCTATATGTCTGTCTGTCTGTCTATTTGTCACTCAGTCTGCCTGTCTGCCTGTCTGTCTTTCTGTTCGTCTACAGTGAAACCTTTAAGCCCTCTATTAAGTGGACACCAGCTTAAGTCCCAAAATTTTCTTCCCGCACATTTAGTGTAGAACTGATAAACCAGCATTCAGCGGACACCTCTGTTAAGCGGACGCGGAGACAATCATGAAGCCATTTCGTTGCACAAAACCTGCAATAAGCGGACACTTCAAGGGTTCATTTTACTTCTTAAGGTTCAGCTGAGACTCCTTAACAGTTCAGCGATATCATTTTAAAGCTAAGTGATTATTCCAGATTGATCCATCGATTGACTGGACATTGTACTATGACAAGAGATTATCAAGGTAAGTGCCTTGATAATCTCTTGACTATGAGCCGTCTTAGCTAGTCGTTGATCTTACACTGTGTTTCCCTGTGTTACAAGAGGGTTAATAATTGATTATTATTGAACAACATACTAGAACCTGTTTTAAGCGGACATCCTGTGTTAAGCGGACACTAGTGAGGGTCCCAAGGCTGTCCGCTTAATACAGGTTTCACTGTTAATAATATACATGAAAAAATCACTCAATTCTGATTGGCTGAGAGCAGTGCAGTTCAGGTGTAACACCGGTGCAAAAAGTGTAACACCAGTGCAAATTACACACCGTAATTCTGGATTATGATTGGCTGAAAGACAATACGAAATTTTCTAAGCCAATGATACCACGTAAAATGATGACGAAAATTTTGTGTGGAAACTTTGAAAAAAGTTTTCTCGAATGAAAAAAATGGCTTCAAGAAAGATATTCCAGCACCTCCTCCACGCGACTTTTTTCATGTTTATATCATTAATAAATAATTATAAGGTTCTTCTCGTTCAATTTGGAAATAATTTGCACTTGTGAGTTTTTCAAAAAGCTGAAATTGCACGAGCCGCTTCGGAATTAATTCCAAATTGAACTCGAAACCGAATGATTACCTATACAAACACAGCATACGACAGTCAAGCTCTACGACAGAAAATGTCAGTGTAATCGAAAGAAGCTATACCTTTCTTTGATTATTGTTCGATTGTGTAAAATTATTGGGGTGGTATTAATTTGGCGCTTGTAGCATTCGCGAGCTACTTTTTCGAGAGTTTAAATTTCGCGTCTGTGGTCAAAATAGGTACGAGTAGGTACGTTTTTGTTGTGTTTCTTCGCAACAGCATTTTAATAAAACAAACAGAACTATACACTGTACACTGTAAAAAAATTACGCCAACTACACGGAGCAAGGAGTTTCAAAATACAATACCTCTTCTTTTCAGGTTTACAGAATTTGCAGATACTTTTCGT